GTTGCCACTCAGTTCTGGTGCCTTTCGTTCGACTCCCGTCTTCAGCGAGGACCTTGCAACATCCTTCCTCTCACCTCTGTCGTGCTTTAACTTCTGCCCCTCCTGCGGTTCCTGTTCGTCTTCACCACCTCCCTCTTTCTGTCCGGTTATCTCGCTTACAGGATTCTCTTTCCGTTCGTTTTTCTAATATTTCTCCTCGTGTTGTTCCTTCTTTGCCTCCGTGGTGAGTCCCCCTTCCGCAGTTTTGTACATCCTTGACCTGCATCACTAAAGCTTTTACCCCTCCTACGGTTCTAAAGAGCCTTTTCCTTGAGCACTTTTCTTCTCACTCCCGCTCCGTTTCCGTCTTCACCGATGGGTGTAAGTCTGAGGACGGTGTTGGCTGCTCTGTTGTTTTTCCTGATCGCACTTATATGTGTCGCTTACCTCTGGAGACTAGCATCTTCACAGCAGAGCTTTATGCTATTCTCTATCCTCTTTGTCTCCTGCTGTCTCGTTGTCAATCTTCCTTTGTAGTTGTTGTTGACTCTCACAGTGCCCTCATGGCTCTCGGGTCCTTTAATCCGGTTCATCCAGTGGTTGTTGAGATCCAGCATTGGCTGTTTCTTGTTCACAGTAAATTTAAGTCGGTTGAGTTTTGTTGGGTTCCCAACCATATTGGTGTCTCTTTAAATGAGCGTGCCCATGCTGCCACCAGGGAAGCTGTCCGTTCTTGTCCCATCTCTCGTAAAGGTATTCCTTATTCCATCATTTACCCGGTTATCTATTCCTCCATCCTTACCCTTTGGCAGGCTTTTTGATCGTCTGTTACTGGTAACAAACTACATACTCTTAAAAGTTTTGTGTCCTCGTGGCCGTCCTCCTATCACTGTAACCGGCGATGGGAAACGACTCTGGCGAGGTTGTGTATCGACCATACTCGCTTAACTCATGGTCACTTGATGGAGCGCTGCCCTGCTCCTTATTGCCCTAATTGCATTGTCCCTCTTACGGTCGTGCATATCCTTTTTTGAATGTCCTGACTTCAGGGACGAGCGTGTGTCTTGTTTTCCGACTGTCCCCTGCGGTCGCTTGTCTCTCGATAGTATTCTTGGTGACTCAGATGCTTTTGATATCGTTCGCCTTATGCGTTTCTGTTCTCGTATTTGCGTCCTTGGTGATATTTAGCGCCCTCTGATTATCCTGCACGTTTGATGGTGCTACATAGCCTTTCCGGTTTAGTGCCTACTTTTGATAATTACTTACTTACTTACTTCATCGAACTAGCAGCGGCTTTTGACACAGCAAACAGGGAAATCATACTAGAACAGTTTGCTGAGCTAGGAATGCAAGGAAAATGACTGAAGTGGATAAAGGGCTGTTTGTCTAATCGAACAGCATATGTTTTGTTTAATGGTGTTAAAAGCAAAGAGAGTAATCACTTTGAACTGGGAACTCCACAAGGAGGGGTCCTCCTCCTCCTCCGTTGAACCCTCATGTTGTTCAACGTCCTGATGCATAAACTTATTAAACATCTTCCAACTAATAATGAAGACACTGTCATTTGATATGCTGATGATATATGTTTACAGGCTGCTTCCGAGTCTAGAATGCAGTCTAGTTATGTCTAGTCTAGTCTAGTCTAGTTATGCTCGATGGTTTTACTACAAGAGCTGAGGAATGTGGCCTCCTTAACACCAGTGGTATTCCACCACCTCATTATCATATAGATGGGCGTGCACTTGATATCGGCTATTCTTACAGATACCTTGGTATCCCCATTAATGACCCGGGGTACCTTTCTTCTCTCAAGAGGAGACTCTGAGAGAGATTAAAGCCCTTGCAGGTCCTTGTTGGTGCCAATCATGGAATTAACGTGAAACTTGCTAGAATGTTCTATGGATCATTTATATGCTCTGTGATTGACTACAATGCTCTACATCTCACACAGCATACAAACAAAGAACTGAAATCTCTTGAAACCTTGCAAAATGAAGCAGTGCGTCTCATCCTCGGGGCTCCAAAGTCCAAGAAAATACTTAATATGAGAGCAGAGTTTAAATTACCTATCATATCTTGAGGTTATCTTGAGATGATTTCAGGGCTTTAGTGTCCCCGCGGCCCGGTCCTCGACCAGGCCTCCACCCCCAGGAAGTAGCCATTGACAGATGACTAACACCCAGGTACCTATTTTACTGTTAGGTAACAGGGGCATAGGATGAAAGAAACTCTGCCCATTGTTTCTCGCCGGCGCCCGGGATCGAACCCGGGACCACAGGATCACAAGTCCAGCGTGCTGTCCGCTCGGCTGACCGGCTCCTGTAAGTGACAGATTTTGTCTATTAGTACAGTTTTCGGCGTGAATGCATTGAGTAGATCTCGGCAACACATAAAGTTTCAAGCTAAACTTTCGAATGTACATCACTCACCTGAGGTCTATAGAAGAAGAGCGAAATCTGATTATGCATTTTGGTTCTACAAGGTAACCATCTCCATCAAAATATTAAATATGAACCCAACTCAATTAATGATTAATCAACCAATTACTCCATGGGATAACTGGGATCTATCAGTTGATTTTGTAAATGCACCAGAGATAGATAGTGTACACTCTACATTATTAAAACAGTTAACATTGAAAAGCATCACTGAAAGTACTCAGGGAATGGGTAACGATGTGTATCAGTGCTATGCCGACGGTTCTGTAGAAGAAGGTGGACGATGTACCGGATGTGCATGTAATATATTTGAACAATCTTCTCTCGTACATACAGCAATGAAGCGTGTTAATGATTGGGCAAGTACAACTCGAACCGAACTTGAAGGCATATACCTTGCCACTGAATTTTTAAAAGACAAAGACAGTAGACTTATATACTGTGACTCGCAGAATGCACTCGTGGCATTGAACGAACATAGCAGTAAAACCCAGAAAATAGTCAGCGATATTCGAATGAATGTTTTGGCTGCTTAAGATTTGAAATTAAATTCCTATGAATACCATCACATGTTGGCATCTCAAGGCATGACACTGTTGATATTGCAAAGACAGACTGTAGAAAACCAGTGGTAGAAATTGATATGAGTGTTTCATTAGCAGTGATAAAGAAAATACTTAAACAAATATCTAATGAAAATCTCACCAACCTAACAAAGTCACAAAGACCTGAAAGTTGTAGCATTAAATATTATGATATATATCGTGAGGAGTCGTTCACATATGGGACTAATAGACCAAGACCTCGGCAATGTGATGTTATAGTGGCCAGAATACGCCTGGGATATAAACGTATCTGCCAGCTTTCTCCAAACATAAATGTCGAGTACACAATGTGTCAACTTTGTGAAAGAGAAAACATGCATTCCCTTGAGCGAGAATCCTATTCCAGGAGCGAGAATGGAGCGCGCGTCGACAGGGAGTCCGCACTCAATAGGACACACGAGGTGACTGAGGGCTGGTACCTCCTGTTACGAACCCGGAACCGACGTCCGAGCACGGAGCAGTGACGACCGCGCCATCTGTGGGTCAGCTCCCGAAACCCCCTCCAAACAGACGACGACACCTGGTGAGGACGACGAGTACTGGCTACGAGGGCCAGTTTCCAGTCCCGTTCAGCACTCAACACCGCCGCCGCTGACCTCTGGTGAGGTGGTGCTCAGACTACAACGCCATCTATGGAGTGGATATGTCGGGCGTTTGTGTCTGAGCCTGTAAGTGAGGTGCCTTAGTGTATCCCAGTTATTGATGACGTGTCTGCTTACAGAGTCAACCTGGGACTGCTGTGATGGAAGTTGAGTCAGTCTACCCAAGGCAGCCGTCTCCATACCTTGTGCTTTGCTGCAGCAGCTGTGAAGTCGTCCCCCGGAAGAACACTGTGGTGTGTTACCCTGCCAGTGGAGTGGCAGTAGAAGGATTACCCGGGACCGACTGCTGGAGACGATTATCCACTGGGGTATTGAGGACAGGAGAGTGATTTGTGATATCACACGAGGCTCCTGTCCAGGGCGTTACCCTTATATCGTTCGTGGAGTGGCCTGACCAGCCTTGCTGATCCGGAACCTGCCAGCAGACCAGCTGGACGTGTGGTTGACGGCCTCCACGGCGGTGCCCCCAGTGGGCCTGTGTTTTGGCTGACCTGTGGCCAGGGTAGGCTCAGCATTCTCAGAGGATTCGTTGTGAGGCCACGAGAAAGCACCGAGGACTCGGCACTGAGCGTCTGGATCCAGAGTCTTCAACAGAAGACAAATGTGTGAATAATCCCCTTGTATAGTGTTAATACCCCTCCCCCTGTGCACTCTTTTATATATATATTTATTTATTTGGTGATGGTGAAAATTATAGTCTTAAGTTCTTAACTTTCTTTCCCTTCCCCCTTTAAGTTTCTTGCGTCACGGATCACATCCCTTGAAAGCCACTACTGGCTTGGGGTCGGATACAACTTCCTCTAACAACATCAGAGTAAGAACCCCGTTGCGTCCCGAGAGGGCTGTAACACCTCCCTCATCCCCACTAGGGATGAGAAGGTGGCCAATGAGTGTATATTTACTCTTTATACATACAGAGTTATTTACGACGTCATTACGAAAAATTTGACGTTTAGAACGTACGACGCAATACCTTTGACGCGCCACAGCCGCGGGGCACCGGATTCTGCACAATTACACATGCAAATGTGCCATAAATATGTCAATTTATATCGTAAAATAATTCTGATTGCACCAGAGTGTTGCCAGAACTACGTAGTATTTTGATAAATATTTCAAAATGTTACGATTTTTCCCGAATTTTTTCGTGTCATGAGGTCCCTTTACAACAACTTACCACCCTCAGGCAAACGGGATGACAGGACGTACCAATTTTTCAGTATAGGAAATGCTTGCAGTCCTTACAGAACGTGATGCAAACTCATGGGACGAACACCTACCCTATGTTCAGCTGGCGCTGAATACTGCAATACGCCAGTCTATTAATACCCAACCCCTTCTTTTACTCACGGGTCAATCATGCAATTTCCCATCAGGTCTGCTTAACAGACACAATGTAGCATATGGAGAGGACTATCCTTCAGAAGTTCTCAATAAAATGAGGAATGCTTGGAGAATTGCAGCGGAGGCTTCAAGAAAAGCATGGGGTAGATATACTCACTATTATGACAGGAATGTACGACCTCTAGAATTGAAGGAGGGCAGCCTTGTCTGGAGAATCAGTGAAGCTGCTCCCGTCAATCAGAGTAGGAAACTAGCTCCTAGATGGCGGGAACCATACAGAGTGATCAAGAAAGCAGGCCCTGTCAGTTTTGGTATAATGGGAATATATGAGGATCTGGTGGAAAGAACTGTCAACATTAATAAGTGGAAAATTTATCATGCTAGGGAGGAACTAGAAATGCTTTCAGCAAGTCTAAC